TCCCTGACCCCTATAATAGGATAAAGACCTGTGTGACAGGGGTCAGTGCCCACTTCCGAATACATAGATCATAACTATTTATGTAACAAAACAGTTTTACAATAAGACATACATTATTGAAATAATTAAATCAATCAGAATTCGATCAGAATAAATAAGTGCGCATGTGTATGTGTGTGTGTGTGTGTGTGTGTGTGTGTGTGTGTGTGCTTGTGTGTGTGTGTGTATGTGTGTGTTTGTGAGTGTGTTTGTTGTGTGTGTGTGTGTGTGTGTGTGTGTGTGTATGTGTGTGTTTGTGAGTGTGTTTGTTGTGTGTGTGTGTGTGTGTGTGTGTGTGTGTGTGTATGTATGTGTGTGTTTTAGTAAATCTGCGTGCAAGTCAAAAAGTAGGGAACTTAGTTTAACAGCAAAGTTTTTCTCTTAATTCATACACTCGTCTTAACTGATTTATGTCATAAACACTATAGATAGATAGTAAATAATAATAGATAGTAACTACATATTTTAGTAAATCATAATAATTGTTCTTATAAACCAAGGTCGTGGGAGCCAGATGACCTGTAAAACAGGTATGTCACCATACCTATCACAGGCATCAGTCTCACACAAACTTATCATTTGTGCCTTTACTGTTCTGATTACACGGAACTTGTGTAAAACTGCTTGTGATGAGAAAATAAAATTCATTATTATTATTATATTATTATTAGTATTATTATCTTTAATCATAAAGAATTACTAGAAAAAAATCCACGCGGAAAGATAGTAAATTGAACGTGCATTAATACAAATTGGTTCATTATTGTAAATTTTATTCATAAGAACACCATGTATTGCGATACCCTGACAGGGTTCATGTAACGTACTTTATAACATGTATTTAACCATCAAAAAGGTTAGTCGACATCACTGGAGACCGAAGAGCTGGCAGCTACCTCGGACAAAGAATTAGTCTAGCTATTCAAAGGGGGAACGCTGCCAGTATCTTCGGAACCTTGCCTAAAGGGACTCCTTTTAGAAATATATTTTAGTTATTATATTATATTTTTTAAGGTTTTTAGTTTAAGGTCATTGTTCCTGTATATAATAGTGTACATATATATCTATACTTATAATAAATCTGTAGAGAGGTCAATTCTGTACATGAAATATATTTTCAAAATAACTTCAGGGGGTGATTAGTGATCGATACTGATGCCAAAAATGCAATCAGTGAAAATTTTGTCTGTCTGTCTGTCTGTGTGTATGTTCCTTATAGAAACAAAAACTACTCGACGGATTTTAACGAAACTTGGTACAATTATTCTTCATACTCCTGGGCAGGTTATAGTATACTTTTCATCACGCTACAATCAATAGGAGCAGAGTAGTGAAGGGAAATGTTGGGAAAACGGGAGAAGTTACTCCATTTTTTAAGCTTCCGTCGCGTGCGCAGCCTTAATGGTTAAAGTTACATAGAAATCATGTATGACGGAAATATTCTACATAAAATTGTCTAAAAAATATCCTGCAACAGCATTTGTCTATCTTTTATGGTTTACTCACAATAATACGTGTAACTCCTGATAGCTTAGCAGTTCGGAGCATTCTGATTATATTTGTTTACTCTTACGTTTATAATACTCTCACTCATCCCTAATTTAAAAAAGTTAACAATAATGTTACCTATTCAATAAAAAAAGAATCATAAAAAAGGAATTAAATAAATAAATTCAATGTGTACAATACACGCCTGAGAACAAAATCTATAGTCTACACTACAGCTCTACACCGAAGCGAAGCGAGGGCGGGCCACTAGTAAATAATATTTTCTCAGTTTATAACCTAGATATTGATATCGATTCTGACACGATTCCCTAAACTTAAAACTAAATTTAACATCAGTCTCTCCTTTTCATTCTGTATGGAAAATGACAAGGATACACTGTTGTCAAATTTACGTTTAGGTTTAGAGAATCATGCCAGAATCGACACCATTATTTCTATTAAAGATTATAATTTTATGAATCATCATGTGACTGAAAATCTCTTGTTGTGGTTTTGGCTGTAGACAAACTTATTCACCTGTATTTAATTTAAAATATAGGTTTGCATAATATCGACTGAATCACTAACGCTGATAATACAGCTTTTACTAGCTTCCGGGTTAGGGGTTGTCAGTCTGGGTTTCGGGTCCATTTCTTGAGGTTTTTATATGTATACCCCTAGATTTAATTAGCCTAATACTTAAAATGTAAAATGTGGGGTTGTAAGTAATTGATTTGGGGTCGATTTTTTTACATAATATAGTTTTATTTTTGAAGTTATACTTCTTTAGGCGCGTTATAAAAAAATTATGAGAGTGAAATTTTAAGATGCGCGCGCATCTGTAACACAAAAAATTAACACCATGAAGTTGGTCGCTAAAGTGCCGCGCTGCCATTACCGCGTCGCCCGCCGCACCGTACGCATGCGCGGCCACTCGCGGTCATAGCGCGGGAAACACGTACAAGAAACATCGGGAAAAGTTACGAGTTTTGAATTTAGAACAGAGACTGTTTTCATATCTATATATATAAAAATGAAACCCGTTTTCCGTTGTCACGAGATAACATGAAAACGGCTTGACCGATTTGACTGTTTTTTTTTGTAGTTTTCTAATACTCTGTACAAGGTTCTTACGGAAAAAAATATAAAGAAAATCCCAAGGGGATAAAATAAGGAATGAAAGTTTGTATGAAACTTTATCAATTTTAAACCGATCGGGCTGAGACTTTGCATGCAGGTATAAGAAGAATCATAGATGAATGTCATTGTGTATAATACAAGCCTGAGAACAAAAACTGTAGTCTACACTTCAGCTCTACACCGAAGCGAAGCGAGGGCGGGCCGCTAGTTTATAATATTTATCCACATGTTTCTAGTTTGTATATTCGGAATACGTGTTTGAGTTTCATACAAGTGCAAATCACATATGTTCTAATAAATTATATTCAGTAGCGATTTTAATTGAATATTTTGATTATTTATTTATTTTTTCAAATTAAAACTGAACTTTATTGACTGTGTCCTTTTCCAGACTTTTTATTAATTTATTGTAATTAATTATTTGCATGCAATTAAAAACTAATTTTAAACGATGCCAAAGAAGGATAACTTCTCACGCGCCTACATAAGTACACGCACCCATTTTTAATTTGGTATAAGTATTTAGTTCATTTAGTAGTTTTAATCCATTTTGTGTGTTTAAATAATATATTATTTCAGGAACTTTAGCTATTACTTAGTTTATTTTTAAATCTCTACAACCATGTCTATTAAATTAAATTATTTAGTTTATAATAAATTAAAATTGATTTTTAATTAAATATTTGTTAATACGGTAGTGTGTGTTAAAATTGCTTTTATTGTAAGTTTTTATTAATTTATTGGGACTGTTTCTGACATGAAGCTTTTATGTAGTGTGCCGGATAGCGACCACCGGTACTTGGTTTTCGTATCGTCTATGCTTAGCTACGGAGTTTTGAGACTGAGATTTTGGAAATTTAAATAAAAGGTGTGATATCTTTGAAAGTCTAATAGCGTATAATTTTAAATTCGAAAAATTGCTGTTACATAATTCGAGGAAGAGGGGTTGGGAACAATATTTTGCGACCAATGGCAGCGTCGATTTTTATATCGCGTCATGCAGCATCATACGGATTGGTGACAGAGCCGAACCTGAACTTGGTGCGTTCCGTCTCGCACAGAAATGCCAAACATGTTTCCAGTCCCTTGGCAGTATCCTATATCTGGGTAAAGCCAAGCCAATGCTCTAAGAATTCTTCGTAATCGAGGTACACCGGTGCTAGTAGGGTGTGAAAAACAGACATTATTGGGCAATATTTGAACTAAGTCCTTTTCAATTTGTTTACTGGTAACTAATCCATCATCACTAGAGGCTCTCACTATTTCATGATATGTTATTTCTGTTGATGCACGTTTCAAGTTCTGACATGAACTTTAAAACACACGAGAAATAACAATCGTTGTACGCGTGCATGATCTTCATACATGTAACATGGCGATTTTAATATAAATACATTATAATATTATTTAAGAGAGGAAGGCCATAAGGGATTTTCCCCTCGAATTGGAGCGCCTGCCTGCCTGGGTAATTAACCTCCACTGCACAGACCACAGTATAATAACACAACATTTTGGTGTTGTTGTGTTTCTGTTGAAAGTTTCCAGGACTCCCTGGGTGGAAGCAGGGGAGCAAAGGCTGCGGGTCCTCAGATGCGATACACGATCCTGAGGCCCCGTACAATGCCTGATGGCGGCCAACGCTAAGGTTTTAGTGGATAGGCCTCCCCCTTCTGGGGAGGAGAGCCCCACATAACCACCATGTGGTACGCAATTTAATGCATTTCCCCAGCGTATAAAAAAAATGTGTGTGTCAGCTCCGACGCACGACTGGAGGTTACTCCTTAAGTTCGATAGTCTAACCAGACGCAAAAAGAGTTTATTTAACTTAAAAAAGATTGATACTGTATGAAAGGGTAAATTAACAAATTAATGAAAATAATATACATATATAAATATATATTTATTCATTTCATATACATTTATTATAACTAATCGACGAAATATTTTACATTAAACTTTTTACAATAGTAAATTTCAGATGAGCATAAATATATCATTAGGAATGTTGATAAATTATGTAATTATTATCATTTTTTTAAATATTAATTAAATCAACATTGTCTGCATTATTAATTACAGTGACAAGTGGTTTATGGTAACTAAAATAAGACACATGGACGTTCGTAGATACGTGGTTATCGAATCTTGAAAATATCGCATCAATGGTTGTACCATACCTCGTTGTCCCCATTGCTCTATCAGAAACAATATCTAAATTCAGTTCAGATTTTAAAAATTTTATTAATGTCAATCCGTCATCTTTGTTTGTCAAAGTTGCGCGACATAGAGTTCGCTGGGTCAGCTAGTAAATATAAGAAAATAAAAAGACTTACTTTTTATCTCGTAGTAGAAAACTCACGAGCAATCCTAAGACACAAACAGTCAATTGACAAACAACGAAACGCAGTGAAACCCGAGAAAAAAGTTTGTTTACTATCCAATCGAAACTCTTTACTTTTGACACTTCACTAAACAAACGTTTAAAAAAAATGCACTTTTTTAGGCGCGAAATGTAATTAACAAGATGGCCTCCTAGGCCGTGCGCTCGCGACGACAATCTTTGAATGACAGCTGATGTTTTAGCGCTCTGATGACTTTTATTTGACAGCTAGAAAGTGTTTTGTTTTTATCTTGCCCTTACAAGACGGACTCGGGGAGTGGGCAGTGCGTAAAGTCAACCAACAACAAGTGTAGTCACTAGTGCTGTGATGGCAATATAGTCGATCTGTCGATAGAAGTACAGCCTTGAAACTTGAGTTTTTTCTATCGATATCATTGGCAAATTAAACTTATTAACTTTTATCCAAAAATCTTACTAACGGATTATTGATTAACTTACCGATTTCAGTAAGTAACGGTTTTAGGTGCGTGCACCAAATTTTTAGAAATATTTCCTTTATTGATAGTGTTCTTTGTAGACCTTATTTTTATTTTCATCCGTTTTTTTGTTGTGTTGGTTAAAACTCTAAATACATATTATGTATTCCAAAGGGCCTACTTCTTCTTATTGTATAATTTTTGGAAACCTATTATCGTAAGTTTATATACATTAATATTACATTTATACATCAAGTTACACATGCGTTAAACACGAGTTTAAGAAGAAATCACAAACAAAATTTGCCCAAACAAGGTTTTAAACCATGATTGACGTTTTTTTTATAAGTACATCATATTATATCTCCTTTCTTTGGTGTAATTATCGATAATCGAAACTCATAGTATTATTAACACGTGTGGATTGATTTACGTTGGCGGCATTATCTTATCTGCCAGCCTATTAATACCCCCGCTGGTAGGGCAAAGGACTTCCCTTTTGATGGAATAGGGAGAGTGGGCCAATCACTTGGGCGTATTGCAGTCTTAGCAGCCAATGAAAATTGCTTTTTTTTTAGTGTGTATGCTGTTTGCCGCAGATGACCTTTACAGCGTCACCGGGTTTGGGGACGGCGAGATCCTAAGGGGACCTCAAGCCGAGAATTGGCGAGTGCCTCTAGAGGTATTCTCGTGCAACGTATTGCAGCAGCTCGTTTACGGGAATACCACGGGAATACCACGAGAATACCACGGGAATACCACGGGAATATTACGGACAGCCAAGTAAGGGGCTGAGGCAGTCCCAAAGCTGTCCGTTCATGTCATGTCGGTACCACGCCATCTAGTGGCAGATATTATATCTACTATACATATGTTTTAATACTTATTTGTACATGCAGATTGGTAGATGCTCCTTAACAACTGCAGATGTAGTGCTAACTGCGGCTTAAGCGTCTTATCAAGTATGGATACAATTGTTGTTCAGTCGCTCAATAAACAGTACCCCTCGCTCAATAAACAGTACTCCACGCACGAACTTTGACAGACTCGTATTTGTATCGTCGTCGTCAAAGTTTCTATTGAAACTAAGCAACAGCATGTTCCTACAGGACATAAGAACAAGCTATTGTAGATATTTTGAAATTTGACATGACGATACGAATACTTTATCGCTAGTTGTTCGTGCTTGGGGTACTGTTATTGCGAAATGTGCCACGATCGCAGTCAGTACTTAAAGGCTAGCTATTGCACTGCCGAGCTTTGCTTCTCTTTTGTCATGTGTACATATTAAAATTTAATGTAATTTATAATAATGCAAACAGTACCATCACCTATTCTGAATTCGTGTAATGGAACATAGTTATAGCGGCAGTTTCCGCAAAAAAAATCAACTACACTAACACAACGTTTTTCAAGACCATTAACTCAATCTCAGCTAAACATCAGCTCCTTCTTCTAAAAAAAAAATATCGCATCATTACATAAATTGGAATAATCGTCATATATTGTGTTGTTTTTGGTTAAATCATTTGTCGATAAAGCCAAAAGTTAACCACAACATCAACAATCGTTACAGTTTTATCGATAGATCGACGTCATTAGAGTTGACGTATACGCATGTAATTATATAAATTGTGTTGTTATTTCTTAGGTAGGTGCCTACAATAAAATGCGGAGAAATCCCACCAAGGGGATCCCGCGGCTCCGCATCAGGCAGTGGTGAAGGTATTCGCAGGACTTTTTTAGCGGATATTATGCCGTAAAGCGCCCGTAAGAGTTGCGGGGAACCAGGTGGGCAGCCGCTGGGGTGTCCATAAGACTTGCGGGAGCCAGGTGTGAGGTTCGTTCGGCGGTGTGCCTCTTAAGAGGCATATTACATCTCGACTGTGATTTTTGCGTAAATTGGCGTTCTTGATCTCAGAAACAAATATACATTAACAATTTTGATCTATTGAATAGTGCAGAATAACTATTGGCCTAGTTCGTAGCGGCCTCGCTTTTTGTAAATTTTGCTTAACTTTTTAATTAAATCCAAAATTGCAAGGAAAATTTTTCATAAAATGCGCGAAGGCATTTTTTTGAGCTCCTGGATTGAACTACTCTTCTAAGCAAAATAAATAAAAAAAATGGATGCGTGTAACTTATGTACGCGCGTGAGAAGTTATACTTCTTTAGCATCATTAAACATATTTTTTAATTGCATGCAAATAATTAATAATTACAATAAAATAATATAAGGACTGGAAAAGGATAGTTAACACAGTCAATTAAGTACAGTTTTAATTTGAAAAATTAAATAAATATTCAAAATATTCAATTAAAATCACTACTGAATTTAAGTTATTAGTCCATATGTAATTAGCACTTGTAAGTAACTAAAACACGTTGTATCTATATAGAAACTAGAAACATGTGGATAAATATTATAAATATGAAAACAGTGATCAGAGGCGACGAGCGTGCCAACATTGTTTTTGACAACGCGATCATCTTATGGAGCTCCGTGGATCGTTCAAAGTACCTTTCGAACAGATGTCGAACTAACATTCATAACGCGCCCGCGGCCAACTTCATGGTGTTACTATTGTGTTACAGTGATGCGCGCGCATTTCGAAATTTCACTCACATGATTTTTTCATAACGCGCCCGCGGCCAACTTCATGCTGTTACTTTTGGGTTACAGTGATGCGCGCGCATCTAAAAATTTCACTCTCATCATTTTTTCATAAAGCGCCTAAAGAAGTATAACTTCAAAAATGAGAATGTTATCTCCTATATAGTCGTATAGTTCGTAGTGGCCTTAGAATTTTGAAATATCTATGGTTTAATATAGAAAAAAACTTATTCTAATCCTAAAATCTTCGAAAATCGCTTAAAGTTAATTGCGATTTACTCCTATTTACGATAATATTACTAAGCAAAATTTATACCACAACAATTGTTACTTCAGCGTCGCGTCGGCGTCGTCTATATAAAGATTTTTTACCTGCGTAATAAAAAAAAGGTGCCTACAATAAAATATATTATTTATTTATTTATTTGATTAGGGACACAAACAGCAATACATATCATACATAACCAAATTATTAACAACATAAATACACTTATTATATGCTTGCCACTTACGAGTATACACAGCATTCAATTTAAAAATGACAATTTTTTTAACTATAATGAAATTGAAAAATAATACAATTAAATAATTTAATCAGAGTAAGCAAAAAATTTGATTATAAAATTAAATTGAATTAATAAAAACGATTAGATTAGTAAATAAAACTTCATATTAAAGGCTGAGATGGAATTCAGCGGTTTATGGCTGAAGTGGTTATAACTATCGATAAATATGTTAATTTCTCCCAATTTGCCATTCAAGTCATTCATTATAAGTGGACATATTCTAGAAAGAGGATGATGCAAGCCCAGATCAGTTCTACATCGAAGCATGTAACGTACCTCAGGAATCGCCCCCTGGTATTGACCATCATAGGTTCCATTTCACACATTTTATCATCGATATTCATCAGGCATAAACATATATTTTATTATGTATTTATGGAAACACACAATTTCAAAAATATTACACACTATTCATCATTTTGTAAATACGTATTATAATTCCATCTGTACTGAAAATCACTATTCCAGAGTTCTGGACACTTACCGGCATTTCTCTATATTCTGTTATTTATTTAATTTTATTGTATTTCTCCGATTTTATTTATTTTTATGCATAATTTTGTTTATATATTTTCGTGACATTTGTGACATCTTAATGTTTTTTATCCATTGCCATGGCTACCCATGACACGGATGCTCTCTCCAACTACGTCTATGCCTATTCAACCTCCACAGACCACCTACTTTGATTCCTTTTAGTTCGATTCGATGTCTAAATTTAAATGGTTCCGGACCTATAAAAGGCCGAGCCTCCCTGATCATTCATTCATTTCTTCGGCAAAAGTTGCCATAATAACTTTTGTTAGCTCGCTACCGAGCTCTAAATCAATAAAAGGCCTTGTCCCTGGGCCGACTGCCCCGCGACTCAAGAAAGACCTCAAAGCTCTACAGCACCTATTGGCTCTCTAAACTTAACTCTAAACTAACTACTCTTCTCGTCCTCTTCACCATACTCGCAACCTCGTCGGCGGGACTGCCGCCCGGACTCCAGCTACCTCGGCCAGCCTCCAACTGCTTCGACCCGCCTTCCACCGACACCTGCCGTTCTACCAGCTCCTGCCACAAGGGCAGGCCAAGTATCAAGAGACGCCGGAACAGGAGCGCTTCTGCCTCCCAGGGGGCCAATCGCCTAACTGGATTGCTTTGGAAAACGCTATCGCTTACGATTTCATTTTGTTATTTCTAGCCCCCTGAGGTTTTCAAATGCCTCGCGCTCTTTTTTTTTCTTTTGCATTGGTAATAATAATGTTAAAGAAAATGAGCGTGAGGTATTTCGGCGGTTAGAAATAACAAAATGAAATCGTAAGCGATAGCGTTTTCCATAGCAATCCAGTTAGGCGATTGGCCCCCAGGAGTGCTGCCCGTCTGCCAGCAGCACGTCCTCCAGACCCTCAAGCCTCAACGGAGAAGATCGCCGACGACCCACGCCCACTTCACCACTTCCACTTTACACCCCACACTTCTCACACACACCATACCTCTATTTTTTTCTCTCCTCTAAAATATA